CACAGCCTTTGACAGGGGATAATTACGCCTCTTGAAGTCCTGCTATGATGATAGCCTTATCAGTTAAGAACAAGTTAGGATTTATTGATATAATAATTATGCAACCTGCTAACACTGGTGATTTGCTCAGTTCATGGATCCGTAACAATAATATGGTGATTCCCTTGATCCTCAATTCAGTTTCCAAAGAGAAATCCGCAAGTGTGATGTATTCTGAATCCGCGTATGATATTTGGATAGATCTCAAGGAAAGATATCATCAGAAAAATGATCCACACATATTTCATTTAAGGTGTGAATTGATGAACCTTAGCAGGAACAAATGTGTGTCAGCGTCTATTTCACGAACAGAAAACCATTTGGGAAGACTACAGGCCTAATATGTTCATGTGCAAATGTGTACATGTGGAGGAAATAAGAAACTTGCTGAACATCACCAAATGGAATATGTCATGTCATTTTTAATGGGATTACATGAATTATTGCTCAAGTAAGGGATCAGCTATTATTGATGACCCTATTCCCCCTATTAACAAAGTGTTTGCCCTCATTGCACAAGAAGAGAATCAACTGAAGGTTAACTCGAACATTGGTACATCTGGAATCCATTATTCGATGGCATTTTATGTTTAAAATGAAGCTAGAAAACCACCCGCAGGTCAATCTTATAACAAATATCAGAAGGACTGACATATTTGTACCTCTTGTGGTTAGACAGGTCATGCAGTTGACAAGTGTTACAAGCTACATGGATTTCCTCCTGGATAAAGCCTAGACAAAGAGCAGGAGTTAACAATCCAACAGGTTCAAGCAATCAAGCAAATTGTACCATCTGTTCCAAGATCAAACACAAAACAATGTTGGAAACTTTGTGCATTGAACCCTGCTCAATATCAGCAACTGATGAGTTTGTTTAATAGTTATCTCACAGCTGCTAAGGTAGATACAGAGTTAACTGGCCACCTATCAGGTGCTTGCTTCTCCATATCTATTAATTCAAAGTTCAATTCACCTACATATTGGGTTGTGGACTCTGGTGCCACAAGTCACATTTGTTCAAATCAATCCAACTTTAATACAATGAAACCAATTCAGAATACATTTGTTACAATGCCTAATCATGAACAAAATCACTGTTCAATTTATTGGAAATGTGAAGTTGTCTCCTGATTTAGTACTTGAAGATGTGTTGTTTGTCCCTCAATTCAAATCCAACCTGTTATTAGTGAGCTCCTTAACCTGAAATTCTTCCCTAAGCATCAAATTTCTCACTGATTCACAAGTGATTCAGGATCTACACACTTGAAGATGACTGACAAGGGTGAAAAAATTGCAAATCTATATGTCATTAATGCAAGTTCACTTGATCAAGTACAAAATAAATATGGTGCTTCTGGGAATATTTATAATTATGTTCATTTAATGATATGTAATTTAACTAGTCACAACAGAATCAAGCTCAGATAAAAGAGGAGAAGATGAAGAGTGACTGTCAGCAAGTAGCAGAGCCATCCACGGATCCAACTGTGTTAGGCCGAGAATTTGTGTCGAAACTTGGGCTCAAAGAAGAAGATANAATCAATATCAGATATTAGAGTAGAAGATGAAGAGTGACTGTCAGCAAGTAGCAGAGACATCCACGGATCCAACTGGGTTAGGCCGAGAATTTGTGTCGAAACTTGGGCTCTAAGAAGAAGATAGGAGATGAAAGGAGCTCTGCGCTAGAACAGTTAAAAGTTGTTGCAGGAGAACCTGTAGGTCAAGATTAACATCATATGCTTGGCTATTTATCTTTTAAAAAGTTAAATTTGGTGAGAGACCAATTAAAATTTGATTGTAATGGACAAAATAATGGCATGTCTACTCCATGTTCCATGTCCTTTAGCTAAACAAATGAGGCTCTTATTCGTTTCGAACAATCATTTATCTCCTGTTGCATTTGACTTGGTCCATTGTGATATTTGGGGTCCTTACAATGTCCCAACTTTGATTGATGATTGCACATGGTTTACATTGGTATATTTGATAAAGCATAAGTCTGATGTTAAATTCATTATTCCCATATTTTTTACTCTAATTGAAACTCGGTTTCATAAAATGATTAAAAATTTTAGATCAAATAATGCTCAAGAGCTTCAATTTACAGATCTGTTTAATGCTAAAGGGATTATACATCAGTTTTCTTATGTGGAAAGGCCTGAACAAAACTTTGTGGTGGAAAGAAAGCACCAACATCTTCTTAATGTATTTGTTAGCTATCCTCCTGCTGTTAAAGGGTACAAACTATATGACATCATCTCTAAGATATTCTTCATTTCAAGAGATGTTTTCCATGAACATATTTTTCCTTTTCCTTCAATTCCTCATTCAAATAATTTGATTGATCCCTTCCCTAATATAGTTTTGCCAAAAGTTGCCCCTGATTCAACCACTTGCCATTCTCCTACAACTTCATCTCTTGATATCAGACATGTTGATCCCAACGATCCACTAAATTCATACAACATTTCTCCCCAAGGATTAGTTTATAATCAACTCTAAGGATCATACAATGATCATTCCTCATCACCTATTCCTAGAAGAACAATCAGAATAATAGAGCTCCTTCTTATCTTAGAGACTATCATTGCAACTTATTAACCAACACACCTCCTCCAAACTCTAATTCTTCATGCCCATCATGCAGATTTATCTCTTACACAACCTTCTCTCCCTCACACAGGACCTTTCTCCTTAATGTCCGTCCAATTTTAAGCCCCAATTCTACCATCAAGCCGTGAAATTTGACCACTGGAATGATGCTATGGCTGCTGAACTGGCAGCCATGGAAGCTAACCCAACTATGTCAATTTTTTTTTTAAAGGTAATCAAAGTTAATATACAGCAAGTGTATCATCAATACAAATCAG